ACGTAGATGATTCACGATTGTTTTACAGGGTGTGTACGATATTTTGTGACATAGTTTATCAATTTCTTCAACGTAATCGTGTAGTTTTGTTGTGGCTTGCCAGTATGATGTTAGATTGAAGTACACCAGTAACGTCCATTCATCGTGTATTAGTTGTAATTTTCCAGCTTCGTCAAAATAAATTGGATGATTCTTTTCTATGGATGTTACCCTGTATGTAGTTAATTGTTGTGGTCGTGCTGCACTTATGAACGTGAACAGCATCAATAGTACTGTAAGTAGAGAATATTGTGTTCTCCCTTTGCAGGATCGAGTGTTACGTGGTATGGATGTCGGTGCACTAGGAGTTGTTGTCGATTCTTGTACTGATTCGGTAGTTTGTAAGTTTTCTTTCAGGGGCAGCGGAACAAGTTTAGTAATCGGTCGTGTCAAGAATAGAATAGAATAGAATAGAATCGTTTATTTCATGTTATCAATGTCACAATATTACAATTGGAAATACAATGTCAAGGGATAACTATGATCGTCAGTAATAAAATTATAATAATAATAATGAATATAAAATAAAGTAGTATAACTACTGCTTGTCGAATAAAATAAAATTAAAATTGTTTCAAAAGAAACTCATCGACACTGTACAATTCAATATCCAATAAAAGGTTTTTAGTCGGGTACAAAACGTTGCATCGTTTCTAACACTTTTCAGGTCTGTGGGTAGATGTTCGTAGAATCGGGGACCTATTACCCGCGGATTTCTAGTTGCAAGTTCGGTACGGTGGGCAACGGATTTTAGTGTTCCCGCGTTTCGTAACACTCGGCCTCCGCCCGTACGTCGCTCATAAGTAGCCAAGTTTTGACGCGCATAAACTATTATATCATTAAATATATTGTGAGTACATGGTCATTATATTGTATTTCTTAAAAAGGTTTCTGCAGGTCTGACCCTTTTTTATGCCTACTATTGTTCTTAGTGCACGTTTTTGAAGAATAAATACCCTAATCGACTCAGTTGAATTACCCCACAGTGTGATGCCATAAGACATCAACGAATGAAAATACGCATAATACGTCTGCCTCAATACCACATTGGAGACAAGAGGACGCAGTTTCCTCAGTGCGTATGCAGCACTTCCAAGTTTTTGACATAGAGTTTGTATATGTGACTTCCAGTTCAAATTTGAGTCTAGCGTTAAACCCAAGAATTTACAGGTGTTACATAATGGAACAATGGAGGTGATAATTGGCTTTGTTATAGAATTTCTTCCTGAGAACAACATAAGGTTTGACTTCGATTCGTTAAGAATAAGTCCATTCGCAGAGAACCACTCACACAGCTGCTCATACGTGCAGGCTAATTTTTCTTCCAACTCGTTGTAGGTTTTAGCACACACTATAACGGTTGTATCGTCCGCAAATAGAACCACAAGACCCCCTGATATAAAGTATGGCAGATCATTGATGAATGCCAGGAATAGTGTATTACCTAGGGCAGATCACTGTGGGATGCCAATGGTGACGTCACCAGCCGCTGACCTAGTTGTTGTACCGTTTGTACTGACCTGAACCGTTTGCCGTCTGTTTGATAAAAAAGACTTTAATAGGTTATGGGCGACTCCGTTGACGCCATACACAGCTAGCTTTTGAATTAATAAATCATTTTCAATTACATCGAACGCCTTTGTTAGGTCACAAAAAATGCCTGCAGTTTTATACTTATCATCTATACTGGTAATAATAGAATCTACTACATTTTGTGCTGCAACTACGGTGGATTTACCTTTCCTATAAGCATATTGTCTATCTGATAACAAATCGTTCATTTCGAAATGATCCATAATACTTGTTGATATAATAGATTCTATTATTTTTGATATATTCGGAACTATGGTTATCGGTCTGTGGCTTTCAACATGGGTCACGTCCCCCTTCCCCTTAAACACTGGACATACACGAGTACTTTTTAAAATATCAGGATATATACCTTCTCTAAACATTTCATTTATTAAAATAACTAGTATGTCTCCAATCACTGGCCACACCGACATTAATATATGTATAGATATATCGTATATGTCCAGCGTTTTTGACGTATGCCACATACTCCTCACTACCCCCTCCAACGAGTCACGAGTGACAGTTGGAAGGCTGTACTGAGGAACATCGCATTCACCCACGCATTTTCTTAAAAATGACATTGATTTTTCTTTATTATTGTGTAAATGTAATTTTGAAGTTATTGTAAGAAAATAATCATTGAAGTAGTCAGGTATCATGTCTACAGGCACAATGTCTCCCTTGTGAGTCAGTCGAACGTTTTGTTGGTGATTCCTAGTTGAAACCTCATCGTTCACAATCTGCCACATTACCTTACTCGAGTTTTTAGTAGACATCATCTTATTATCATTAAATAGACGACGATCACGCAAACTCATAGATTTTATTAAATTTGAATGATGTTGAAGACATTTATTTAAAACATTATCATGTGGAAATTGGTGTTTCATTGAGCAGAAATTATTATACATTGCAATGTGGTGGTTAAGTTCTTTACTCACCCATGGAATAGTATTCCTCTTTAAAGATATTTTTTTAACTGGAAAATGAATATTAATATAATAAGTTAATATTCTTATCAATGAACTAAATTTTTCATTAATATTAATATCAGTCACATGAATGAAACTCCAATCATAATTATAAATGTCCATATAAAATAAATTAATAGACTCCTCTGCAAAGATACGTCGATGTATAAATTTGTTTACATTTTTGTGTTGCGTAACAGGTAATACGAATAGCTGTGCGTTGTGGTCGCTTATCGGCGTATCTAAAGGAGAAACGGTTATGTAATTACAGTCATCGCTCGAAACTATCCCACAGTCCAAAGAAGTGCTACAAGTGTCACATTCGCGTGTAGGAAAATCGACAATATTTTTTGTGTTATAACAACTTAATAGGTCGTCTAGGCATCGCCTGTCCGAGTTGTCGGTTAAATAATCTACGTTTATGTCGCCGACCAAAATTAACCTTTTATTTTCGTCAAATATTGTTGACAATAATTTTTCTATTGAATATAGAAATTGTTTAAAATCTCCGTTTCCAGTTCTATAAATACCCACAATAACAATATTTTCCGAATACAGTTCAATTACACAAATTTCACAATGATATTCAACACCAATACTCTGTAGGTCCGTTCTTTGTTTAAATAAGATTCCTGGCTTTGTAAACATAGCTACACCGCCGTGGTTGATGCGCGGGCGACAGTAGTAATTTGCGAGCTCGTACCCTGATAACTTCACGCGTAGTATTTCATTGTTTTTGCACCAGGTTTCAGAACATACAAGAATGTCAGGTTCGTGTGTGTTTAAAATTATGTTCAATAGTCCCGTTTTACCAGTAATAGAACGTACATTTTGGTGTAAGATCGTTATGTTCGATTTGTGTCTCGGTTTTGAGGTTATCCCTGATCGTGCCGCGCGTGTGTTTTTCTTAAGTTTTTTGGAGTGATCGTATTGAACTTTCTAATTGATACTCCGGCGGGCCATAATCCAGGATCTCGTATAGATTGGACTTTGCTGGCTGGCACCTCTAATTTAAAGGACGCGTACTCTCCGCGTGTCGGCAGCCGCTCACAGCATACTCCACTAATTCGCAGCCGAGATTGTAGATGCTGCTTTATATCTTCGGATGTGGTGTCGACGCTAAAATTGAATAAGTGTAGCGTACCAATGCGTGGTGGTGCCGCTCGCAAGCCTCCTAACACCGGTTCAATTGTCTTTTTGTTGAGAGGTCTAGTGGTGTTAATAAGATGAACCTCTCTGGTGTCAGGGGTTGATGTATGTGGAGTTGATATATTATGTGACTTGTGGTTTGCAGTGGAGTGGTTGTGATTGGTTTTGTCAGGCGTTTGCTGAATTATAGTAATTCCGTGAGGGCCGGAATCATCTAGGGTCAGTGGAACACTAAGTCTCTGTGGAATACTGGACATGATGTTTGTGACAGTGGAAGTGTGTTGCTGCTGTATTGTGCTACAGTCATGTGAGGTAATTGACTTGATTTTACGCTTGTTTTTGCGTCTGTTGGTAGTCGTGTCGGTTGAGATTTTCAAACTGTCAATTTTTGTCAATAATTTTGATAATTTTTCATCTTGTTTTGCTATGTATGTGTTTTGAGTTTTAATAGTGTCATAGCATAGATCTAATTTGATATTCAAATCATTGACTTTTACTTCCAAATTTGAAATAACTTCTACTAACCTGTCAAGGGCTGCTTTCGATGGTGGAGCCATTGTTAGTTGATTTTTTTCACGTATTTCACAAACACTGAATAATTTTGTCACAGATTAAAATATTATTTAAGGTTTAATAAACTTTCGAATGTTTAAACAATTTAAAACAATTAAAATACGCGGAGCGTTCAAATTTGGCAGTTTATTGCAGTGGCGCCACTCGCGGATTGCGCAAGTGACCCCTTTTAGTTTTTAATGTGACTACTCGCACTTTATCGTCGCTACCAGGATGGAGTTCCGTCACTCTACCGAGAGCCCATTTGCCAGGCGGTAAGTATTCGTCCTTAACAAGGACTAAGTTTCCTTCTTCTAGATCCTTCTGTGGTTGCTGCCATTTGCTGCGCACCTGTAGTTGATGTAAGTATTCACGCGACCAGCGTTTCCAGATATGTAGGTTCATTTGCTCCACTAGTCGCCATCTATTTCTTAAATCTTGCTGGTTGAAATCTTCTTCTTCTCGCGGTAGTGAAAGTAGTGGCCCGCCAATAAGAAAGTGTCCCGGTGATATGTATTCCAGGTCGTCGATATCTTCCGAGAGCTGACACAGCGGGCGTGAGTTCAAGCAAGCTTCAATTTGGGTAAGTAGAGTAGTAAACTGCTCAAAAGTAAGTTTTTGATCACCTAGAACCCTTTTAAGATGATACTTCATAGATTTAACGGCCGCCTCCCATAGTCCGCCAGCTGTCGGCCAGAGAGGTGCGTTAAAATGTCACTGCACTTGTAAGTGGGTCAATTCATCGGAAAATAACGACGTTTGAAATGTCTTGTTTCGTTCGAAATCTTCATGTAAAATTTTCGCTGCACCGACGAAGTTCGTGCCATTGTCCGAAAACATGTGTTTTGGAGTTCCTCTTCGTGCACACATCCTCTTGAAGGCCGCGAGAAAAGTCTGTGTGGTCAAATCAGAAACTAATTCCAAATGGACGGCCTTTGTAACCATACAGATGAAGATAGCGATGTAAGCTTTACAAGTTTTAACTCCTCGACCTTTGTTAATCTTTATGTCTACATGACCTGTAAAGTCTACTCCAGTGTTTGTAAACGGTCTAGTAGGAGTGACTCGTTCTTTCGGCAAGTCCGCCATTAATTGTTCATTGCGGTGCGGTTTAAAACGATGACATTTTATACATTGTCGCAGCTGTTTCTTCACCGTTCGATTCCCACCAATTATCCAGTATTTCTGGCGTAAGTGTGCCAACGTGAGTCGTGCACCACCATGCAGAGTGTCGTGGTGAGCCTCTTGTATTATAAGCTCCGTTAATCTTCCCGACGCAGGAAGGATAACTGGATGTTTTGATGCCGGCGGCAAAGTTGAGTGAATCAGTCGTCCCCTTACTCGCAGTAGTCCTTTTTCGTCGAGAAAAGGTGTAAGTTTCAGCAGGCTGCTCTTCGTGGATACAGTCATATTCTTCTTCAAACACTCCATTTCTGCGTTGAAATGTTGTCGTTGGACGTTGTGAATAACCATCTCGCCAGCTTCTAATATTTCTTGAAATGTTAAATTGAGAACCTCCCTTTTCTCATGTTGTTCTTCGCAGTTGGTTAAGTTATAATTAGTTGTGTTCATTATTTTGCTTTTCTTATGCAACGCTCGCGTGAATCGCAGTATCCAAGCGAGTACTCGGGTTACGCGCTTGAAGTTGCTGTATTTATTTATTAGTATTGTTGTAGTTTCACAGGTATCATCAGTTTTCGTTGCGCAACACATTGTTTCCGTTCCATTTTTTGTGAAGTATGATAATGTTTTTTGTTTCAGCTCTGTTTGGTAAGTTTTCAACCATTGTGGACCCTGCCACCACAGATCCAGAGATAAGAGTTGAGATGCTGAGAGTCCTCGTGTTGCGCAATCCGCTGGATTCTCTTGAGATTTCACGTAATGCCATTGACTTGAAGGAATTATGTTATTTATTTTTGTTACTCTGTGCGCAATGTAACGCTCCCATTTATTTACATTGCCTTGTAGCCATGCTAAGACTACTTGCGAGTCACTCCAGCAATGTATGTGTAAGTTTAAGTTGTTCAAAGTTTTCGTGAGCTTTTCAACCAGTTGTGCCAGTAGAAGGGCACCGCAAAGCTCCATTCGTGGTAAAGTGATCTTTTACTAAGGGGTGCGACTTTAGTTTTGGCAGCGATTGGAGTAGTTACATAATCGTCACCATCAATTTTCACCCTGCTGTACACCACGCAATCAAACGCCTTTTCACTTGCGTCGCAAAAGGCGTGAATTTCTATATGTTTCTCTTCACATTGTAGCCACCGCGGAATTTTGAGTATGTTGACATTTGGCAGATCTTTTCTCAGTGTTTCCCATTCTTTAACAATTTCCTCAGGTAGGTTTTCATCCCAGGCCATTTTACTGACCCACACCTTTTGAAATAATAGTTTTGCCTTTATTGTGACGGGTGAGAGCCAGCCAAGCGGGTCGTACAGTTTACTAATTTCTCCCAAAAAAATCCGTTTAGTAAGTTTTTTTTCAGGTAAATTCCAGTTGAATGTAAAATTGTCAGTTGCAGGATTTCATCTCATTCCAAGAGTTTTTGTATTTGTTGTTTGTTCTGGGTTAAAGTTGATGTTAGTTTGTTTGCATTTTTGATCATCTTCCAAATCTTCTAAAATCTTCTGATTGTTACTCATCCATTTCCTTAAGTTGAAACCCCCCTTTTTCAGTAAGTAAATCAAGTCGTTGACCATTTTCTTTGCTGCATCAATGTCATTCTGTCCGTAGACCAAATCGTCCATGTAAAAGTAGTTTTCAAGTACGATCGCAGCATCCGGGTGGTTATTTCGTTCATCTCGCGCCAGTTGGTGGAGGGTGCGCATTGCAAGGTACGGCGCAGCCTTTGTGCCATAGGTAACAGTGCACAACTGCCATTCTTGTAAAGGTTCACAGGGAGATGATCTCCAGATGATAGTTTGAAGGTTTTGTTGATTTTCAAGAAGCCAGATATGTCTGTACATCTTTTCTATGTCGGCAGTGAATACATATTTGTACGTTCTCCAGTTTATCAGTAATGTAAGCATGGCGTTTTGTAAGTTTGGACCGCTGTACATGAGATCATTCAAGCTGTTCTCTGTTTTCGTTTTATAGGAGGCGTTGAATACAGCTCGTAGCTTCGTGGTGGTGGATTGCGTTTTTTTGAAACTCCGTGGTGAGGTAAGTATACGTGTTTTTTCTCTCTTTCTGTTACAGGTTTCATATGACACATGGAGATGTACTCATTCATAAAACGGTTATATTCAACTTCAAATTCCTTATTTCTCTGCATCTTCTTCTCCAATTGCAGAAATTGAGCTAGCGCTTGCGATCTCGTAGCTCCCAGTTTGGCTTCGTAATCAGGTTTCATGGGCATTTGCACGACGTATTTTCCATCAGCTAATCGCTCAGTGGTTGATTGGTAGTGTTTCTCACAATAATCTAGTTCGCTTGTTGTTGTTGAGTTTTCTTCAATTTCTTCTGTTTCCCAGAACCGTGACATATTTTGCAAGTCATTTAATGTCACAAGGCAGTTAAAAGTTTTGACATTCCCGCATAATATCCATCCCACTCTGGTTTGTTGAGCAACAGGGAAGTTGTCGTCATTTTTCATTACACCGTTCAGTATAAGTTCTGAGTAAATATCCGCACCCAAAAGTAAATCAATAGGCCCAGACACGTTGAATTCAGGGTCGGCTAGTTTAAGATTTTCCAAGTAGTGCCAATTTTCAGTAGAAAATGATGTACCAGGTAAGTTGTTGACAAGTTTTCGCATTATAAGTGTCTCTATGTTAAAAGTATAGTCAGAGTGAATAGATTTGCACTCTAAGTTCATAGACCCTTTGCAGTTCCCGGAAAATGATCCGACTCCAGACACTACGGCACTCAGTTTACGCCGCGGTAATCTGAGACGTTGAGCTGCATCCTCTGTTATCAGGCTAACCTGTGAGCCTTGATCGAGTAGCCCTCTTAGTTTGATGTAAACGCCGTCTATACTTTTCACCTTAAGTTGTACAGTCGTTAATAACACTTCTTTTGCATCATTAGTTATGTTGTGAACAGCACGTGGGGTAGTAGATGTTGAAGGATTGAAAATTTTTGGCTGGCCTGTTTCGTGCATGAGTGTATGATGAGGCATGTAGCATAGTTTACATCTCTTTTGTGAGGTGCATAGTTTTTCTCCGTGACTGTACAAACAGTTTTTGCAAATACGTAAATCACGAACGGTGTTATGTCGCGTGACCGCGTTCATGTTCAAAAATTTCTGACATTGCATTAGAACATGATCCGTTTTGCAAATTGGGCATGTTCGCGTTGTAGTGAAGTGGCTCTTCGCTGCTATTTGTGGCTTGTTAAAGTACGATGACCTCGGCACATTGTAGTGTTTATAATAATTATTATGACTTGATGTGGACGGTACCATGTGACTTGATGGTTTGTACGACGTTTGTTTCTGGTTGCTCCCGCCTTGTAACGTTTCAAGCGCCATAAATTTCGACTCTAAAAACTGAATAAATTCCTGTAGGTTTGGAAAACTTCTGGGTTCTTTCAGGTCTTTCATGTACTCGTTGTAGGACACACTGTCCAGCTTCTGCACCAGTAGATGAACAATTATTGGGTCCCGAGTTTTTATGTCGAGTCCAATATTTGTAAGTCCGTTCAGGCATTCTAGCATGACGTCATGAAGTTTCCTTATACTCGCAGCGCTCGCTTGTTGTATGGCAGACTGGTTCAATAGAGTGTTCATGTATGATGTAAACAATAATCGACCATTATCGAATCGGTGAGTAATTATCTCCCAGCAAGAAGTATAATTGTCTGCACTGATTCCAAGATGTTGTACTAATTTCTCGGCTTCACCCTTTAGTTTAGATTTTAGGTGTTGCATCTTTTGCGCCTTTGAGAGTAACGGGTTGTTATGCACGCTTTCGATGTAGAGGTCCTTAAAAGTTAACCATTTGTTGTAATCTCCATAAAAGTCTGGTATTACAATTTTTGGTGTAGCGTTCTCGTAGTGAGAGTTATTCCAAATCTTATGTTGCAGCGTTTTCCGTATACTGTCGTAAATATCCTCTACCACGTTGTATTTCTGTTTGTACGTCGAGTCTTCGTCTTGAAGTATGTAGTCAAGCTCCCAGTTAGCCTTTTCTATTTGACCCCATTTCATTTTCAAAGTGTTTAAGTTGTCTTCCAGCTCCCATTTCTCCATAGTTGTGTCTAAGTTAATTAATACTTTAAAAAATACACATTAAAAAATAATACTTTTGAACGAACTGTGGACAAAAGTTCGTTCAAAAGTTTTAAAGTTGCAGTATTGTTGACGCAAAAGTTCTTTTTTCTTCTCTTCGGACCCGCCAGTTGCGGGGGGCGGGACATGAAATTCAACATCGTTAAAGTTAAACTTTGATTTTACATTCCGAATGTCTTTTGAGGGAGTAGTTCCCGTCGGAGGCTTAGATTCCAGCTCTGCCTTTCGTTTCAGCATGTCTTGCAACACTTTCTCGTACATAACTTTAGTTTTAGTGTAAATATCATCCTTAAAGTATTGGATGTCAAGTTCTCCGGTCTCTTCAATAACTTGGTGAGTGCGCACAAACAATTCCCACTGCTTGTTGAGCCGTGCGAGACGTTCGTCTAAGTAGATCAAAGTTTTTCTTGCAGAGCTATCTTTCGCGTAGTTGTTGCATAACGTCTTCAGTGCTTCGAAGTTATTTTCTTGTACAGTAATTAGTTCCTTGACGCTCGGAGCCATCGTTGTAGTAAGTAAGTAAAAAAGTAGTTAAGAGTAGATAATTAATTCGTAGAGTAAGTATAAGTAGTAATTAGATGTTAACCGTCGGCAGGTGCCGAGCAGAGGGTGCGTGAGAAGAGCTCTGGGGCCCTTTCAGAAGAGCAACCGGACAAGGACGATCTCATCATGAGTGTCCGGGCGGGTGTAGACAAAATCCTGAGGGAGACTGCCAAAAGTAAAAATCTGAAGGGGACTATCTGGAGCGAGATCAAAAAAGCGTCCGTGAACATCACGGCGGCAATGGACTCGCTCCAGGCAACCTCTGTGGACGAGGAAACCCGCCGCCTCATGGCTGACAACAAGCGGATGAAGCGGGAGCTGGCTGCACTGAAAGCCTAGGTGACGGCTCTCCAAAAGGCCTTTTCAGAGAGGGCAAAACCCTCCGTACCAAGAACTGGATCTCCTGCCAACCCTGTGCAAGTTCAACTAGGCCTGGAGGATATAGTGGAGGATCTTAAGAAAAGCCTTCTAGTCTCCCTAGGCGAAATGATAAACGTTCGCCTAGGAGAGATGGAGAGGCGCCTCCCACCAGAGCCAATACTGAGGCCGCCACTGGCGGCCGATAGAAGGAGAGAGGCGGCAAAAAGCTCAACCCCCGTGCCAAGCTCAGATTTGCCGCCCCAAGTGCAGCGTCTTTTGGCCAAGTCTCAGCCAGTCGCCACTGCAGCCGCAGCCAAAACTTCCGCTGCCGCAACTGCCGTAACCGCCGCAACCAAACCGAAAAACCCCGCCTCCCGCTACCACGGCTACCCGCGCGACCACCAAAGTAGCACAAAGGCGTAAAAAGGTGGCCACCCCGAAATCAACAGCGGTGGTGATCACTTTGAAGCCCGAAGCTATCGAGAAAAAGGTGTCGTACAAAGATGCCTTGGGGAAAGCGACATCGTCCCTGGAACTGGGCACTGTGGGCCTAGATTTCATGCGAATCCGCAGCACGGCTGCT